TCTTTTGGCTGAATTATCATTACTTTGTACTTTATGCATTGAATTGAAAATCCTAGCAAGTATATTTAAGGTTACATGCCATGTTTGATAATATCTGTCTATGTATATTCATGTATGTAGGCTATATTAACCATTGAATCACTCGCTGTAAATTACATAACTGTATGATGCATGGTTATGGCTCTGAATCACAGAATCACATACTTAAATACTTAATACTTAAATACTCCTTTTGTCCAAATTTAGAAGGGGTCCGGTTGTGAAGATACCACAACAGATATTTCATCTCCAACACCCATGCTTGGTTACTGTTGCTATGCATGGCGAATCGTTTGCCGTCACCGGTGCATCCAATAAGCATGTCGGCGCAGCCAGGGAGTCTAAAAACAGCATTCTGTATAACCGCATATAATGAGAAAGGCTTCATCAGAGTTCTCTCCAAATGTCAGAGCGGCTTTAATGATCTACTGAGCACACATACATACACAGAAGCTATAATTCATGTGCGAGTGTTTGCACAGTCACAGTGTGTGGCTCTTTTCTGCATTGTTGGCGTTTTTGGTAATCCCACCTTTCTTTATTTCCACCTCTGCTATTAATTTTCTCCGCTGAAGCTATTAATTCTTTCCATCCCCACCACTTCACTCTCTCTCTCCCATTCTAATCTTCTTCTGTGTGGCTTGATCTTGCTCCATCATGATTATCAAACATGTGGCTTGCATAAGTATCTCCAATGAACAACCCCAATTTTTTTTTTAAGAAAGTTTTGAGTGTGCCGATTGCTCCCTGGGGCTGTACTCTTTTTGTATTATTTATTTTTTTAAAGCGAGTTTCAGGAGTGTGTCTTCAGGGACAAAGTATTACTCATCACAGTGAAGCCAACAAGAGATGCTATAAGAAGAACCCCTCTTCTGTAGCACAGTGAAAAACAACAGCTTATGTAATGTTGCTATTTTAGCTGCTCGGTACATACAGTATGTCAGACTACCTCTAATTACTTCTTCCAGGGTGTGTGTGTGTGTGTGTTTTAGGTTAACACTATATAACAAAGTTATTTCAGCAGAAGCAGATGAGAAAATCCACTGAATAATTTAGATGGGATGGACCAGGAGAAGAGATAGATAGGTGTGTGATAAAGATGGAAAGAGGCCAACTATCAGAGTGGATGACAGTCAGGTTGATTTGGGGAGGCACACAGAGCAAACAAGAAAAGAAATCAGTGCATCAGGAGTGAATGTATAGAAAGAAGAGGATGGAAAAAAAGATGGCAAGCAAACGAAAGACCTGGAGATGGAGAACAGGAGTTGGCTGATTAAGAAGTGAGACTCGTGGAAAGGACAATAAGAGTGAAGACAGGCGCACACATGGGGAGAGAGGGGAAAAGCTTAAGAGCGGGGCTCTTGGTGCAATGCAGACGGCATTGCCATGGAAACGAGTGAGGGGAGGGGGCGCAGACGAAGAGGAGGGGATTAAATAGGAAGGAAGAGATCGCTGCGCACTCGCAGTGGGGAGAGGGTGGGTGGGGACTGTTGCGATGAGAGGGGAGGGGCGGCAAATGAGCAACAAGTGAAATTAATAGCTGCTTGATGGCTGGAAGATGGCTTTGTGGTGGAGGTGTGCCACTTTTGTATGTGTGGAAACTGTGTCTCTGTTTGTGAGATTCTGCATCATAACAGACACATTTGATCACAATGATGCGTAGATTATAGCCTTAATATTTTTAATTACTTTTAAAAACACTATTCATTAATAGCAGGCTTGAATATGAGCAAGGACAAAGTTTGTGTTGTTGTATTTGTGGTGTCGTTTGTCTTGATTTCACTGTGAAGCTCATGAGTTTCTGTGAAATGCTGCCACAATAAATGAATAAAAAATAAAAAAAATGATTGGGGGGGGATGAGCCTGTCGCCATGGCGCCAGTTGTCTCAGGTGGCATTGTCTGGGTCCATATCCGAGGGCGGGGGGGGGGTTGTCATGGCAGCAAGAGTGCTTGCTTGGAGTTTGTCTGGGTGTGATGCTGCAAAGACACACACACACACACACACACACACACACACACACACACACACACACACACACACAGACACACTGTTGGAAATATACTTGACTGCAGGATTATAAATAGAAAGCAGCAGAAGGCAGCACCCCACTCCTTGTCTCCAGCGCTCATGGGACCCCATCATTCTCATCCTCCTCTCCACTCGTCTCTCATCAACACTTACCCCTGCTTGTTATCTCTCTTTCTGAGGCCTCCGTCCCTCTTGTTAAACCCCCCTCATGCTGCTGAAAGTCTCATCAAGTGGCTTTGTTTGCTATCTTTTTATCTCCATAGAGATGGTGATGATCCGGGGTGTCTGCGGTTGTCATGACGATGAGATGGGGAACAGTGAGGATGCTTAATGAGCTTGGAGTTGCTTGGGCTAATGAAGTGGGACGGCTGTATGTGTGTGTGCGCGCACACTCAACTAGCAACATCGAGCAACTGCTTGTTAAAAGTCTCCTCCGGTGACTTGAATGCACCATTCAATGATCTTGCCTCCCATCGAGGAGAGATATACGAGTTTCTACAGCAACTGCAACTGCAGCCGTAATGAGCTGCATGAGGCAGAACGAAAACAGAGGTGCTGTTCCTCTGGTTATGACTTTTTAAAGCAGTGATTTACAGACATTAACAAGTTCAGCGAAGGGGAAAGGTTTAAGAATTTGAATCCTTACTGCAGGATTTTAAAAAAAGCTTGCTGGCTCAGAAAGCCCCTGTCAAAGGGAAGTCCCACAAATTAGTCTTGGACTTTGTTGTGGTCTTTTTAAAAGGAGCTTCAGTGACACAACTGTGCACAGCAGCTTTCTCATCCTCCCATGTGACTGAAGTGTCACCCTGTGGCCCAGACTGGTTACGTGCAGACACTGTGTAGAAAGTGTAAATGTTGCATGGAGGTGTGAAGGTCTAGTGTCTGGTGTGTGTGTGTGTGTGTGTGTGTGTGTGTGTGTGTGTGTGTGTGTGTGTGTGTGTGTGCCTACATGTGTCTCTACACATTAATGTGAACAATAGCTTCGGGAAGTTGAAGTTTTATTGTTAAGAGAGAGATTTATTGAACTCCCTGTTTTAGGCTGAATCTCCTGCTTCTCTTCTTCTGCTTGTTTCGAGCCTTCAATGTAAATTCAAATTAAGATGTAATTAGTGTTTTTCTCTTTCCTTAGTCCTTTAGCTGTCCTTGCAAGTTACAGAATATGTGCGGTTAAATTTACATCAGAAATAGTTTACTCCCTAACATCGATATTGGCATCAGTCCCCAAAAATCCATATTGGTCAGTCTCTTATCCACAGTAAATGTAGGTTCTTCATCTCTAATTAATTAATAATTGACTAATCACAAAAGAGTGAGCCAGCTGACCAATCAGAGTGTTTCAGTGAGAGAATAAAAAATGCAGCAATACACAGAATATGACAAATAATGGGTGAAACATCACAGCAACATTACATCCTTTTTTAATGGACCAATTTAAAATGTGAACCTGTAAATGTGAATACGTGAGACGAGAAGCTAACAATAATTTTCATTAATTACATTGATTAGTTTAAGATTATTCTCTTCCTTGATTGGGTAAGTTTATCCATCCATTTTGTTGAGTTGCAATAAATTGTGTTTGTCTGTGTATTTTGTCTCTGTCATTGTTGCATCTGTCAAGTCACTATTGTATTGTTTTGTTTTTCACCAATAAAAAAAGGAAAAATTGGTTTAAGTGAGAGTTGGATAAATGTTTCTAATCAGTTGTGATTGTTAAGTCAATGAGTGTCCTCACATCTATAGAAAGCCATTTGTGTGTGAAGTGACCTGAAAAGCTGTGATGAGACGTTGGCCCGCACTGACACGATGCCTCTTTCCACTCTGAGAACTCTGGGTAATGTTCTCAAAAAAACTGAGAGTGAGGCAGAGATGTTGGTGATAGACGGGGTGATGGAAGGGGTGACTGCCAAAAACAGTGTGAGTGCAGCACCTGACGTGTCACATCCTGAACTCAAATCACCCTCGACTCTGAACTCAGCAGTCGACATACAGCGTGTCATTCGTGGGGATGATGCCCTGAAAGCTGCTTCCGGGGTTAGCGGCTCTGCAGCTTGCTCTGTTCTCTCGGTGTCAGCAGAGATGTAAAGCCTCCCTCATCCAGGCTCAGCCACCAGACTGTCTTTCTTTGCAGACGCATGCAGAGATCCTCAAGCTGCCCATTTGGGCATGTTTCTTTTTCCCAAGTCAGACTCAAAGGTCTGCTCGACAGCATGTTGGCCCCTACTCACAGCATCCATCATGAAACAGGCTTTCTGCGTTTAAAATGTGATCCGGTAATACCTGCGAAGTGGAGAGACTTTGTAAAAGAGCAGGAACATCCCTGTGGATATTAGGTACGATTGTCTCCTCAGTGAGTTTGCTTCAAAACAAACAAGGGAGAGACGGGGGCTCTCTAACTTGAATGTCTATCATTTGTCTATTTCAACTTTTTATTCTTGATTATCTTGCAAACATCATTACCAGTAATGAAATCAGCTGTCTCAGAGCCAAGTTAACTTAGAATATGAAGTAAAATAAGGTCATAGTGAATAAGATAAAAATAAAACAGGAAAGAAAACCTTAACACTAGAGCAATAAAGCAATAAGGTAACAGAGAAAAAATAGCCTATAAATATATGTATATACTTTTTATGTGTACCCTTCATACACAGAATTCATTGGCGAGCCTTTTAGTTCTGTAGCTGAGGTGACTCATTAAAAAAGGGGAAAAAAAATTGAATATCTGCATAATGTAATAATATCTGATGAGGTTCAGATCTTTTCATGACACAGCCCGTCTTTGTAAAAGCGTCATCACGCTGGCACTGGTTCTGTTTAACACCTGACTTCCTTATCAGGCAGCTCCATAACTTCCTCTGATAATGATGCTTACTGGATTATCCTTCTGAAGTAAAGACACATAATGGAGCTGTCACCTCTTTGTCTTTTTTTCAGATGGTGGGACGAAGAAGCTCCGCAGCACCATCCGACGGAGCACGGAGACTGGTATCGCTGTGGAGATGAGGAACCGGGTGACACGACAGGGTAGCAAGGACTCAACTGACGGCAGCACCAACTCCAACAGCTCTGACGGAACGTGAGTACCTGACCGCAGTTTATCCATCCACCCATACGCAGTATCCATCCATCTCACATTAACATCATTCTGCTCTGACTCTCTTAGGTTTGTCTTCCCTACAACGCGCCTGGGGCCTGAGAGTCAGTTCAGTGACTTCCTGGACGGACTAGGCCCCGCTCAGATCGTAGGCCGGCAAACACTAGCTACACCCCCCATGGGTAAGCCAAGAGCGATAGAGACCAACAGCACTAATCTGTCGTCGTCAGCCACCCCCTCGTTTCCACACAATTATGTTTCATGTCCATTATTCCATTTCTTTTATGGACTCTGCCCCCTAGAGCTCAGCACGGAAATGCATTTCTTTGCAGATGGAAAGAGGCGCTTATGCGGCTACAGAGAAAGTTTATATTGTTGGTTTTTCGCCACGCAATAGCAATATTGTTACTAAAAGAGTTGCTTTAAAATTGCTGGTTAAAGCACATTGTTTATGTTGGTTATATTAATATTAATATATCTATTTATACAAACATCTTAGCTAATTAGATTTTATGCTAACATCACATCCGTCTGGAGTCCACAGCAGGTTTTTTTTGTTTATTTTGTATTTTCAATGAACATGGAGGCGAAAAATACGAGGGGAGGAGTTTGGCAACACATTGGTGCTCATTACCATAGAAATGAATTCACGGAGCACTGAGGCCTGTGTCACTTTGCTCTTGTAGTGTTTGTGTGACATAAAGAACATTAATTAGAACATGAATGTTGCAGCATATTAGTCGACAATAAATATCTGTATTACAAGAGCAAGTGAATATTCTTGGATTGAAAGATGAGTTACATTTTATATAAGTAGATCTGAAAAGCAAAATATCAACATATAAACTGTTAGAAGCAGCATCTAAAAAAACGCTGCAGTACCAGTGTATTCACTCAGCCTTGATGATTATTCTTGCTTGAGATATAAATCTTTAATTGCAAAGCTTGATCAGAAATGACAGAGAAGTGTTGCGCCACCAATCCTACTCATGAAGACAGCTCTGTAGCGCCCTCTGCTGGACGATGCATACAACTGCAACAAACAAAGGTTGCCTTCCTTTATTATAAGCTTGTGACATGATTGTTAGTGATGGTGTGTTTTCCCTCCACAGGGGACGTCCATGTAGGCATGGTGGACCGAGGAGGGCAGCTGGAGGTGGAGGTCAACCAGGCCAGAGGGTTGATCCCTAAACCCGGCTCCAAGAACATCCCAGGTACTCTGACATTGTTCAGAAACTCAACTGACTCTGACGCCCGTGCACAAGCTTCACTCTAATATCTTTTTATGTGTGTGTGTTGTTTCTGCAGCGACTTATGTAAAGGTGTATGTCCTGGAGAATGGAATGTGCTTGGCCAAGAAGAAAACCAAATTAGTGAAGAAGAATCTGGACCCCACCTACCAGCAGGCTCTGTTGTTTGATGAGAGTCCTCAGGGCAAGGTTCTACAGGTAAGTGACATCCTGCCTTTCTTATCATATATTCCTATAAATCACCTCCTCCAACTAGGTAACATTTTAGTCTGTCTTTGTTTGATTGTTAGAGACGTGCTGCTTTTTCAGTTTCTCTCTCCTCTAGTGTGTTATAAAAGGTTTTTCTGTATTTAAAAGGTTTGCAAATTAAAAAAAACCCAAAGCCTGTGGTAAAGGAAAGCTCCCATCCCCAAAAGAGAATACCTGAAGCTCCTCAAACGTTTCATCAGTAGTCGGGCTGATACTTCATGAATCATGATGTGGTGTGAAATCACAATTCCCAACATTTGCATAATGCACGCCTAGTGGCTTGTTTTGCCTGCCCACTAACAACCAGGTAAAGCAAGGGTGGAGGCTGACATTTCCTACATGTGCTGGACAGGATGAGGAAAGAGATGTGTTTTCGGAACATTAGAAGTATCTAAATCATTTCAATTAATACCACAAATTAAAATTATGATTCTGACAACATGACTTATGACTTGTATCATATGGGTCCACTTATTCACGTTAGGGCATTATTGCCTAATTTTATTGTATTTCTTGTACATATGCAAATTACTGTTTTTGTGTGTGATCTTACTGTTCGTTTATCTGCGCTGTCTGCATCTCACAACCAGAAACCTTTACTTTGAATCTGAGCCCTCTCTGTTTCCTTCTTTAGATTTCCTTGTTTAATTTGTCTTGTGCAAGTTACAAGTTGACCCTGAGTTGTGTTGAGTTGCATTGTACATCCTTATATTTGTGTGTGTACCATATGTCCTCATGCTTCCTCTTCTCCGTAGGTAATAGTGTGGGGGGATTATGGGCGTATGGACCACAAGTGCTTCATGGGAATGGCCCAGATCCTCCTGGAGGACTTGGACCTGTCTGCCACAGTCAGCGGCTGGTACAAGCTCTTCCCTACCTCCTCTTTGGCAGACCCCAGCATCGGACCCCTCACCAGACGCCTCTCCCAGTCCTCCCTGGAGAGCGCCACCAGCCCCTCATGCACCTAGACACCCCAGTATAACCCTCCCCCACATGCACGGGCACAGGCAGAGTCATGCAGACACGGACACACGTACTGTATATACACAACTACTGTATTTGAAGTGCAAGACAGGTAGGCATACACATATATACCCATCTGCACATAATAACTGATCTCATCCACATGAACACACACACTGACACGCTGACATTCCACTTTTTGCCATATTCTCCACATTATCAGTATTTTCAGACGATTTTAGTTGAACAAAACTAATTTACCAGAAACATGTAGCATTTTTCACCCTTCACATTTCAACATTTCTCACCACGACACAACAAACCACCGGATGCCATGTTCTGCATTCCAATGTACCAGATCTCCGTGGCATGACTCATCCCAGGGCCACCCCGATGCCAGTTTCTAAACTCTCTATGCCAAACTTAAGAAAAAAAACAACTTTATTTTTTAAAACCAAAGCAATTGTTATTGTTGTTATTCCTATAAGTAGTAGGTAAAGTAGTATACAATATAAAGTATGGATATGTAGCAGAGTCTATGACTTAGATGTAATGCAAAAAAAGAAGATACATTCTACACACATGAGTTGAAGAGTAGGTCAAACACATAAGTATACCTGGGCAGCAGGCTTGGATGGTCACATAATGGCTATTATGTGAGGTAGCAACACTGCTATTCTATAATTTTCACAGGGCAGAGTTTATATATAGATATACATTATATATAAATAGATAGATAAATACTTATTTGTGTTGCGTATGTATCGGCTGCATTCTGCATGTTTGCTTGCAACCCTCGTAGAGACATTTTAAAAGTGCTTAACTCTTTTTATTTAGCTTGCCTTGACCAATGTAACGGGAATATAGTGCTACTTTACTTTGCGATCCGTCCTGAAAAGGCGTGCACCGGGCTGAGTTAGGGAGAAGGATGATGGGGCTTAGGTGACAGGGAGAGCACCATCATCGCTATCTGCAGCAAAAGAGAACAAATTAGTCGGCCGGCCACACATTCGCTGAGGAACAAATTTCTGATCCTGCCTTCAGCTGTAGAGGGAAGGGCTGTCATACCGCGAGACACTCGGGGGTTCTAGTGCTCCACATCCAGGGGGTGCCACAGTCTCTCTCTCTCTCTCTCTCTCTCTCTCTCTCTCTCCCTCTCCCCCTCTGTATACCAGCACCTAGACTTGTTTGAACTTCCCGCTAATTTCCCTGGTTTTGATGTCATCTTTTTGGTTTTTTTCGCACTCTTCCTGATTGACGAAGGTCAGATCACAGCAAGACATCCAAGCGCAGGCAAAGACATGTACATGGATGGTACCACCTACGACCTTTACCTTCTCTTTGGTCACTCCTCTCTGTCACACTGACTGTAACTGAACCTTTTTTAAATGTGTAAAACATGTATTTTAAATCCAGATGTTTTTTTTTTATATATCTGACTATTCACCCCAGTATTACTTTGCTAGCAGGGTGATTGTTAACCTGCCATATAAGGTAGTTTTACTTGTTTCAGGTACAATATGTCAAATCTAACCAGTCTTTAAACGTTCTTATTTTATATTTCCAGTCAGGCAGCGTGTGTTTAAAATGGCACTTTAATGTAAATTTTTTATTGTTTTAATTATAAACCTGCAGTGGTTGACCACTTGTTAAATAGTTTGTTTGAATTTGGTCACACTGCATTGATCATCTCTGTTTCAAACAAACGCCAGCATGAAAGTGTAACTTGAGTTTATAATGAGTCACAGTATAAGGACCAGGTCAGTAAAGCCTGTTGCATTGGATTTTACTGTTGGTTAAATCTGAGCAATTAAAGGGTTTAATTGGCAAAGAAAATACATTCTTGTAGAAAATCTACATTAATTCTTAAAGCTACACTGTGCAACTTTTACTGAGCAACAGCGCCCTCTGCAGCCACACAGGGAATTTTCTGTTGGGTTCCATGTCTGTGCGAATAAGTTTTTTTATGTAGAGGACGAGTTAGTGAACCATCAAACTAATTTCAAAGCTGATGTTTTAAGAAAAGTTGCATAGTGTTGATATAAAATGTGACTTTTAAAAGGAGAAATAAAAATACAGGTTTTCTAACTTACAAATCTCTTTCTCAAAAAAGGTAAATTGACCTGTTGGCTGTTTTAGTTAAATGTGCAAAGGTTGAGTCTTCACTGACAACAGGTTTAACTGACCTGTTTGCATTGACTGTTTTCATTATTTATACCTGTAAGTGTTGTGAATCTTTCTTGAGATCCAACACCAAACCTGGTATACAGATAAAGACACGAAAAGGCTGTCGTATTTCAGCAACGTTATGAGAGCTGAAAGTCTTAAGCTACACCCTATGAAAAGCTATTGTGTGTTTTTATGAGCTTGAGTTTGGTTTTTATCGCAGCCATATATTCTGTCGTCCGCTAACAACTTTCCTTACTCTGTTCCTCGTTTTTGCAAAAAATGGGAAAGTCTGAGGCATTTCGTGTTCTCAGCACCTCAGACCAACAGAATTCACATTTCAACACACTAAACATTTGGAAAAAAAGGGATCTCTGGTATTCTTGAATATTTTGGGGGGAGTGTGATGGTCATTTTTGACCCTCCCATATATATACAACCTTTTTTTCCTCCTAAAAGAACCGTCAAAGTCTGGGTTCCAATTTCCTCGCTGGATCTGTACTTGTATGGTGATGTATATGAAGTAATTTCATGTACCTTATTGATTTGTATTGATCTATTTTTTTTGTGTGGACATGCCATTAGCTGGCATGATGTAAAAATAAGGACTTATACTCTTGGTATTTGACCACACTCTCTACGGTGCGCACATTTTGTGATGACAAAAAGAAGGGTTGGAAATGGAAAGAATATAAAGTTTGAAAAACCTAAAAGGGATTTTTAAACCTGTAGAACATTCCTGCTCAATGTTTGATAAGCTATGAAAATACTGTCGATAGTTTTGTCAGTGTGATATCTGAAGCTTGTACAAGGTCGTCTGTGTCCCTTTGCTGCGTCGGGTAACCCCAAGAAACACTCTAACATCTGGTTATAGGAGAAGAGACGATTCAAAGTGATATAATTATCCTATGAGAGGTGTATTTATAGACAGTGGATCTGCCAAATTTTGTACAGATCCTTTTTTATCCCTGCAACCAAAAGGATAAGTTGAAATATCACCTTTTCTTCAAAGTGTATTGTGTTTTGCATTATGCATAATGAGCGGCGAGCCAGCAACATGTGAGCGAGAGATTTAAAAAAGTGTAGATATTTATTTAAGAGAAGGGTTTGCAGATATGAGCATCAAATCTTTATTGTCTCGTTATGGCATTTAACATAGATTCGAAAATTGACTATATAGTATAACATGCATTTTCTCACAACATGGTCATACACTTAAAGGAAATTGTTAACCAACGTAAAAAGATCACTTACTGCAATTGGTAAATCACATTTACATTTATCAATTGTGTTTATATAACTTGTCAACTTTAATTTGAACAAACTAAATTCATTTCTGAAGCTGTGCCTCACTGAAGTTGGTCCAACAATTTTCTCTTTTCATTGTGTTGGACATAGTTTACTGTTTTGAGTGAGTCATAGAACTGTAGCTCCACATGCAGCATGGTTAACAGAGCAGGGCAGGTGGTTGGAGAGTTTTCATTGTCAAATGTGAAGTAGATGCACGGTTGGTTAGTTGGTTAGTTGAAGTGCTAGGAGCAGTGTATTGGAGCATGTAGAGCTCAGCGCTGGTGGATTCAGCTCGAGTTTAAACGTGGCTCAGCTGAGATTTGAATGTAAAAGTCTGGATGATGCTTGGAATGTAAAACCCACGACACTCGCTTGCTCCCCCGTGAAGATCCACATCGAACATTCCTTTCTATCCCGAGTGCAGAACTTTACTAATGCATCTTCAATCAACCCCGAGTCGTCTCTTCAGCGCTATGTCGAAGATGTATTTTATTTTTGTAAGAAGTTTGGTATCATTCAGAGAACGTAGGAAGAAGAGCCGGGAGAGGCGCTGCGGGCAAAACCTGCCTTTAGACTTTAGGGGAAAATGAGGGCTCGTTCAGTTTACAATGGCCTTACTTTGTGTAGGAGACATTGCTTCACTATTGTAGCACACAACTGAAAGTTTTGACAAATGTATTTTGCTTGAACTATTGTACTGAGGTTATATATCTGTGTATATGTATAGTTTTACGAATGTATTTCTTAATCCTTACACCAGAGCTGAGTATAATTTACATTTTTTTGCCATTTTTCTTTGCTATACTGTGTCTTCGAAGTCTTTCCAGGGGACGTCACCTGCGTCTTTTCAGGCAGCCCCCTCCCCTCTTACTTTTACTGCACTGTTTAAGTCTTATTCTCTGCGTGTTCATTTAAAGAGAACAGCTCTGAGGTTGATACAAGCATGAATTCTGTCTGGCGAAATGCATTTCCTTTATTTATTCAAATCGCCACGATGGGTTTCGAGTTAAAAATAAAAGGGATCGCTGCCCCCACCCCCCCTCCTGCACCGATTACTTATTGACTAATCTATCGATCAGATGGAGTTGGTCTGATTTTTGTACTTTGAACTAGAAAATGTTTGCCGCATGGTTCCTCCGATGATTTTCTTGTATTTAATCTTTCCGATGGTATGATAACAATGATTAATAATTAACATAATAACATGTAATGACAACAAAGATGGCGATGACGTTACTTAGACCCAGTACCACGATTATTAGGGAATTCAAATGACATGCAAAACATTTGACAAATATGCTGTATTTGTAAGTAGCATGGACTTTAGCCTAATTCTTCTGGCAATAACCATTGGTTGTGGCCCCCCTCACTGTTTGCTGGGGGCCCCTCACTCTTGGCTTCAGCCTCTTTCTGGGTCCTTACAGAGCTGGTGTTGTGGTGCCACTGTCAGCTGATGACAAAGAGAATATTCACTCAAATCACATTTGCAAGCACCACAAGCAATTCAGACTCAACAGAGCATGCAATGCGTTATGAATAATAACTATATTCTTATGATAGTCCCCATGAGCATGCATTTCATATGTCTGTTTACCAATGTAGCAGGTGTCGGAGAGAACAAAAACAGACATCACTGCTGAGTTGTGGGACAAATTGGGAGTTTTTAGCTGCTGAATATGTTTGTCTTCATCAGCGTCTAAATGTTGGTGATCACAGCACAAGCTTCCTGAGTAGCCATTCTGTTCTTTTAGATGTCAGATGACATTAAGGCCACTGTAGCTTCCCCTCCCCACTGTCAAGACAACCTTTATCTTATCAAGCCCAGCAAAGCACAAGATAGCTTGATGTGGATTCCAAACAAGACAGGATCGAAGGGTTTTGATTATATTCAATGCATAGCCATTATATTTCCAAGCACACAAAGGAGGTTGATACCTTGGAATCCAAAGTAAAGACAGATGGGAGCAGCAAAAGATTTGCTGGTATTGGTAGATGAATGGTTGTCTTTTCTAAACTGGCCTTAACCTTTCCACCGCGGAGTGTTCAGAGTATGTTTCAAAGGGCAAAGTGTAGCAGACTGTCTGAGGAGAAGTTGTTGCTGTTTATGGCAAAGAAGAAAAAAGGGAGCTGTAATTTTATACCTGTGCTTTGTAAATGTTTTCTATGTGCAGTATTTGATAATGTAAAACTGGTATTTTTGTGGTTTGTACGCTGCAGAATTGATTACTTAAGGTGCACGTAGTTTTGTAAGAAAATGGAACCAAACTGAGGAAAAGAAAAACAAAAAAAGAACAATTTCGGATTCAGAAGCCTGTATCTGCATGCCCTTTGACATCTGGACGCAAAGTCAATAAAGTTTATTTGAATCACAAAACATTCTCATGAGTTTATTATGACGTCTTAAGTCACAGGTGAAACGTGTCATTGATCTTATTCAGCAATGATTTGTTTCAGACAGTCTCCAGCAGCTCCACTAAAAATGGATTTGAATTCCTCAACCATGTAAACCAGCAGGTCACACTCAGCTGACTGCTGGGGCCTAAAATTACTATGAGAACCACAAGACTCAATCAGAACAGTAGAGCTGCTGTAAAACCAAAAATATGTGCTGAATAAATTGTAATCTCTGTGGGTTCATCACCATTAGTGGCCTGTCAGTTCATGGTCCTATCATCCATTGTCATTATGAAAACATCTAATTGTTCTTTTCCAAATGCAATTTAAACAGTTTGCCTTGAAAATGTTAATTATTTTGAATACTTAACATGACAGGTCAATGCAGAGTAGTAACCCAGTTCATCAGTGAGCTCTGTGAGGAGATGGTGTCTATAAACGAATTCATAAAACCAATTTATCTGTTATAATGAAGTAACAAAGGCGAAACTGTGCAAACATAAACAGTTCTCAGTGTAACTTTAACTTGGCTTTTACTCAAACCATGTCGGGAAAATTCACAAAGGAGTCACACAAAACATCATAGCTAATTCTGACCATAGGCAACTACCTTCAGAGGAATAGTGAAAACTTTACAGCCCTTAGAGTCCTTGCAAACTCTCTACTCATACTGCCTACAGAATATTTCAGTCACAAACACTTTCGTTTAATTGATTTCAAATATTGCAATATGTTTTTTATTTGGTGGTATGGCTTTGTTCTGGGACCTCCCTGCCCACACATGCATATGTGTAAAGCCTAAGGCAAGGAGAGTGCACCTCCATGCACTTCCATAAGTCTCAAGTGAGGCAGGGAGAGCAACAGTTAAAAGACCCTGCACAGGAAAACAGCAGGCACCAATGACAACACACGACAGTGATCAGGTCGGAGTCAGTATGAAGGAGGTTCTAGGGTGGAGGTGGGTTGTGAAGTGAACTATAGCTGTGCTCAACTTGATTCGACCTACAGGGCTAATAGTCGACATTAGAGGTGTGAAGGTCAAAAACTGTAAGTCCACACAATATTTAGAATATAATCAAAACATGATTTATTTAGTATGTTTTCACATGGACAAGTATCATATGTTACATATTTTGTCTTTTCTGGGACCATGAAATCAAAAGGAGCAGTCTATGAAAAAAATGTAGACATACTATATACTGTACATGTTCATCAATCTTATTTAAGAACATAATAGAACATAACATAATAAGGAATAAAGTACAATATCTTGATTGACATGTACATAAAAAGATACATTCCTTTATTTGCTTTTATTAGACAGAAAATATACCAAGCAAAAAAAAAAAGGAACTATTTCAAGCAACCTAAAGTTAAAACAAATGAGACGGCTGCAGGTGAAGCCTTATCGCCCACAAGGATGGATTTTCACTCCTTTTTCCAGAAACACTGTCATCGCCAACCTGCAAATGTGCTTATGCAGAGCAGAGCCAACACTTTCCTCTTACGGTAATATCCTGGCCTCAGCAAAGGTGACAGCTGCCGTCACACTGTTGTCTCTGCAGCCACCAAAGTGCAGCTGCAAAATGTGAAGAGTTTCCGAGTGGTGCAGGCTGGACTGCTGTTGGCAGCAGTTACAAGAATCCTATTATGCCAGAATACGTTCATTTGTTTGTCCCCTATAGTGGCGCCTTTTGCATTTTTTACCCCTCACTTCAAAAGAGGCAACTTAACAACAAAGTGCTTCAGAAAGACTGATAATATTTACAGTAATGGCTTCATGCAAGTATAAGAATGAACGTATCTAAAAACATTCAGATCTGAGAGATGCTTGTGTGGACTTGTGTGGGAGAGAGGGTTAGTCATTTTTCTGTCACCTCTCTCGCACAATGTTTTTCGCTTCTCAATGTGGTTTGGCCAAATTGTAAACACATCAGAATGACCTGAAAATGTGTTTGCCTTGGTCACAGTTTGCTCCTAAAGACATTTATTGAGAAACGCTGATGAACTGAACGATTGTTGACGCTGCTGACCACAGAACATTCAAAGGACACAAGTGTGTGTTGCCAGACAAGAGTCACAGAAAAATAAAAAATACGTTTGTTTTTCAGAATTAGTCAGGTACATTCAGGACACACAATCATCGATATTTTCTTGGTCACACACTGATGGACATGTACAGCAGAGAGGACACATTCCAGAGACACATTCGGACATCATTGTAAACACACGGTACATACAATCAGAGCTAGATAAACATTCTCCTCATGCAATTCAGTGGAAGCATCTGAAACACGACTGATCTGTGCCTTTAAGTTTTTCTCATCCCGACCTCTCTTCGACATTCAACATTATTTGAGGCCTCTATTGCACAAGGTAGATTGTTAACTTGAGGTTGGTGAGCGCTCACATGATAAAATTGCATGCAAGTGACTGTTTTAAGTTTTTTTATCCCTTCCGAGGAAAAAGCACAGTGAATTGCAGTTATAACCCAACACTTTATGAAAGAACAGCTGAATTGATTTGTCTAGTAATCACTAGTTAAGTGGCTGTACAGTAAAGCATATGAGAACACTGTACAACAGTAATAAAGCATTGATCTTTGGTCTACCAAAATCCCCTTTATGGATTCTAGAAGAAGCTGTCTGTAAATTGAGTAGCAGACATCATTACTTTGGGCTGTTTAGGTAGGTTTCTGCAGCTGAGACAGTGGAAATCTAGGAAATCAACGTATCAGGGGATTTCTAATATTCTACTATTGTTGGATGGGGAGGACCACTTAAGGGATGCATTGTTTTTTCTGGGTTTTTACAAATGTTGTTACTAACTTAACACAGAGCAAGTCTCTTTTAATTGTGCAGTTTAATGGTATGATGATTGGGGTAATTAGCCTAGCTGAATTGCCTCGCCAATCATTGCCAAACCAATAATTACCTAACCGATCTTACTTCCTAGATTATTATATTTGACTAAATAATAGCTGTTCTTCTCAGAAGAGGGGAAATATAACTTGAAAATGAATCTCCACTAAAATTCCTTTTTATAAAAACCTATATGATTGAGCTGAATGAAAAAAAACTGTAAATACAAATATTGCTGCAGCTAAAACCTGTTAGCTTAACCTGAAGCTTTCATTTAGCGACTCCAGCCAAATGCATTATTAAAAATAGCGTGCATTGCTTAACATAACACGTCGCAAAGTCTTTCCTAAAATCTTTCCTTGAGTACTGTCAAAATGACCCTGTATGAAAATATGAATAACAAAACACTAATTAACCTCTTAACATCTTGCTTATTTAACTACTGTATATAAAATAATTACGCAAACAGTAACCTTAGAATGAAAGTTCTGATATCTCCTTAGCCTACATAAAATTTCAAATTGCCTAGATGAAGGCTTTTTGTCTGATACCGTTTGCAATGATATCACATATGTAGCCATCAAATGCATTTAAGATCCCTTTTGAGGTTCTCATTTAAAAATGGGTCAGCTGGAAATAAAGAAAATAGCTGGACAAAGCTTTTGTCTACATCTGTGCAAAATCTGGGCCCTAATAACAATCCCTTATGGTAAAACTCACCCTGTTTAATACCTCAATTTTGCAACAGGAAATATTTCCCTCCTTTTAGAGAAAATACTACTAGTTCCAATAAATATCAGTATTTGAGCACATCAACCAGTGAAGCTAAGCTAGGCTAACCTAATTTTTCGACATACCCTTAAACTACACACATTAAGAGACAGTAAATACATCCGTGTGTATTTTGGACTGTAGTTAATAAAGAAAATTCGTGACATCCTCCAAAAACCAAACTTTTCTTTAAAGTTGAGCAGACGGTAGGCTAGACACCCACATCCAGCAGATGTGTACATGCATGTGAACACGCTGACATCCGGGCTAAAGTTACAAAAGAATATGTGTAGCCCTAACCACTGATCACTGAACCCTATTGTCTTGGTCGACATACCAAAATGTTCTGAAGGCAAGCATGGAAATCTGCAAAACATGGCCATTGATGAGACAAGAAGAGAGTAAGCATGGGCGGAGAGGAGAGAGAAAGAGAGGTAGAAGTGGTTTCCCCAACATCCTTCACACGTTTCTCCTCCTCTTCTTCCACCCTTGCATCAGAAAATGTCTTATGGAGAGTCTAATCCACATATTCCCACTACTCATTTCCCCCTCTGTTTTGTTGGTCATTGGTACAAGTTCTGTTCATTTCCAGATGTGTGCTGTCATGTGCACTGAACTCTGAGTTGTTGTACCTCCCATGTGTTGGCTGCTGTATCCCATCATGTCGTTGGTGTTGTAGAGATTCATGCCGGCCATGTGCTGAGTCATCTGAAACCCAAAAAACACAATTTCAATCTGTTTTTGTTTCAAATAAATTGTGTCTGGCACAGTGCAGTTTCATCGTGACTCACCTGGGCAATGTTCCACTGTAGCTGCTGGGTTTGCTGCACTCCGTACACCTGCTGGTGTGGTAATGTGGTTAACCCTCCAACCTGCTGCTGTCCCATCATCCCACTCTGCTGCTGTCCCATCTTCCCACTCTGCTGCTGTCCCATAATGCCATTCTGTTGCTGTCCCATCATCCCATTTTGTTGCTGTCCCATCATCCCATTTTGTTGCTGTCCCATCATCCCATTTTGTTGCTGTCCCATCATCCCACTCTGCTGCTGTCCCATCATACCCTGGGTCATCCCCGTCATGTAGGGTGACGTCAAAATGCTGCTAGGCTGAGCCATGACACCCTGGGCACCCATCATGCCATTCTGTTGCACTCCAATCATACTATTTTGTTGAACCCCCATCATGCTGCTCTGTTGCTGTCCCATCATCGCCATTTGTGATGTCACCATGGCACCTCCCATTCCAGCTGCCTGGGCTAAAGAATGGTAGGAACCGTACGGGTGTGTCGGATATCCCATTTGGTTCATGTACAAGCCTGCTGAAAACAATCACAGACAGGGAGCAGTGTTACACTCTTTGATGAGACAAACCTAAACTGAATGGGCCATTTTTTATCACCACTTGGGAGCAGTGTCTGACACTATTTGCATTTCCATGAGCAACGTTAGCTTTCATTTGCAGTTAGAAGTGTCATGTTTATTATTTCTTAGTCCATTTTGATCTCAACCAACTCTTAAGCGATACATCTGGATCTATAGTTCCAAGATGCTTCACTGTGCCCACTAGTTTTAGTTGCTAACTTCATCAGACTTCTGGTTTGGTGCTGGGCAGGTAGCATACAGTAGGATTTTAGGGCATTTTCACGGAAAACAGAGAAAAAAACATTTCATTTGTTGGCCAAAACCAAATCAACTCACTAAAAGGCTTGATGGAGTTCAGGGGAGCTGCATGGTCTGGTTGTAATTCTCTAATTCAAATTGCCATAACGAGCACACTACCTCTATTTATAGTTAATAGGTCCATTATTAGCTCAAAAATATAAATTGTTTCAGGAAAGATGGTGAAAATGAATTATTGTAAAAATCAATGCAGTCCTCACCAGGAGCAGTCATACTGCTGGCGTGCACTGAGGGAGTGGAAGCATACAGGGAGAGAATAGAGTCCTTGGACAGCTTCTTGACGGTGCCCTCCTCTGCTCTGGGAGCTGGATCCAGGAACAGACTGAGGTTTTCAGGCACAGAGGCAGTCACTCTGCTCTGAGGCATAGAACTGGAAACAGGCTGGTGGGGAGGAGGTGGGTGGCAGGGAGCATTGACAGAAAGACAGAAGATGGAGAGAAATAAGGTTATCAATGGTGACAGGATGCAGGCAAAGGTGACAAAAGAGGCAAATGAAAACACGGCAATAAGGGGCAGCTTTCTAATACCCCATTGGCTCTGTGGAGAGTGTCCGGTCTGTACAGTGTTTTATTTCCTACCGTTGTTTTAGTGGAGGAAACAGAGGAGGGTGTTGGCAGAGAGCTAAAGAGATCCAGGGCAGAGTGTGCCAGAGGTGGATTAGACACCGCTGGGCTCTGTGTTGTGTTACTGTCTGGAACACATCCTCCACCATTAGACACTGCAGGACTTGGTGCAGGGGCATCTAACAGAGGGGAGATAGAGGCATGGTTATAATAATAAGGGTTTCAACTATAACACAACTATTTTATCAATTTATCAAATCTCAAGTTCCTGAACTTTAACTATAAATATTTGGTGAGTCTGCCTTTTTTGAAGGAAACAAGTTGAAATGGAGATAATTTGATAGTAGGATTCAGGTGGAAATGTTTATATTGATACAATGTGTCGTGTGTGTGTGTGTGTGTGTGTGTGTGTGTGTGTGTGAGGTAGAATACCTAGTCCAAGCAGGTCTGTAACAGACTGGCAAACTGTCTTCGGGCTGATGTCTTTTTTCTGTCATAACAGACAAAATGGTTATGACTCATGTAAAACAACTCCAGTGAAAAATCTGAAACTCATCTATCTCTAGGGACATGAGGAGGTCAGTTATGCTTTGAGACAAGCAGCAGGAACATACAAAGATGCACTCACCAATTTCATCTTCTCAAACACGACCGGTTCCTTGGGTATATTGTCGCAGCTTTTTTCTTTCTGCGCAGAGAAATGTCGTCACTCTTACTGTTCCATGGAGTGAGATGAAAGTAAAAACCTTTTGAGTGTGTGTAGACTCACTCTGAGCATCTGGATGTCAATGACCTTATCCATGTACTTCTTCTTATCATACTTGTCCCTGATGAAGATCTCTGCAGACTGGTCTGTCTCAGGGCGCTGGAAGCACTCAGGTAAGAAAGCCTCATAGAGACGTTTGGCCTTCGCATTTCCCATCTCCTGAACACACTGGGGACACCAACACATAACAGGTAAGCAGTCTAATAAAGGAAAAATACAACATCCAACATACTGTTCCTATTGTGTATCCAGTGATTTAAAAATAAGTGGGCTTTTGCAAATAAAACAATGCAAATCCTTTTTGTGAATGTATACAGAGAAGAGAAAAAGAAAGACGCTGACTGCAGGATATTATCACAGGGAAGCATAATGCTGACTTAGCTGCCTATCAGACCCAGACAGGAAGAGCAGCATACAAATGAGAAGGTGTCTACTTCCTCTGTACAAATGTTAAAATTATTTCCTGTTCTCCCTTTCATGCTTAATCATGGCAAATTCTTTCAAGGAATTTGTTTTTACTGTTTCAGAGTATTGATCTAACAAATGCTCCTTTCTGATGCATGGGAGGTCTATGATAGTGTTGTTAAAATATTAGAAAAGTCAGCCAATAAAGGGAGTTTTTAGTTTTGAAGTATATATATGCTTCAAAGAATGCACTATTACATGCTAACATGTGATAAATGTTACCATCTCTGTACATATCTGTATCTGTAGTGTGATCTCTGACCTGGACCTGCTCCTGCGTCCATTGATCCAGGTTGACGGACTTGACCTTGGAGATGTGAACACCCAGATTTCGATGGATACCGGCACAGCGGATGCAGATAAAAATGCCCAAATTCCAGGACGCCCATCTTGGACCTGGTAAATGAAAGAAGACCGATAATGGTAGAGAGTCTTTTGGGGACGCTGTTGATATACTTGGGCAATAAAACAGCTGAGAGAAACTAGAAATATATATGTATGTCTCTGCCAAACAGTGCAGTTTCAGTCCCTCCAGGTGTTCCTGATATACTGCAGTCAATAATATGAGGTAATGTGACCTTTGACCACGGAAATCAAATCAGTTAATCTCTGATTCCAGGTGACAACTGGTCAAAATTAGATGAACTACTCTAAAGTTGAGATAGACAGAAAACATAATACCGAGTAAAGAAGAAAAGTGAATCTAAAGTTGTAAAAGGGAGGTAGAGGTGTTGGAAGAGAGGAAGTAGTACAGAGGCTGAAGAAAGTCTCTGATTAATTTTAGCCCAATTATCGAGGAGACAAGCCTGAAACCTCAATTATGAGCTAAAATTCAGCTGGGAACACATCTAATCCTGAGTAAGTCATGCGCTGTCCTGACACATAATGGGATCCAATAGGAGAGTTAGCCTACATAATCAAGACTAAGAGGAGAGAGGGGGAGTACACACACACACACACAGAGCCTGGATACCTGCAGGGATGATTACTCATTTGGTCATGAGCCCTGTGTGTGTGGGTGCGATGTTATCCAAGTAGCCTATTTTGTCCATCTTACCGCCATGTGTATCTTACTGAGTACATGTGTTTGCTGTGCGCTCAACATTTAGCCCCTTGCATTATTATTATTTAGCTGTTTCATATAGTTTTTGCTTGTGTGGATCTTCCTTCTATCTGCAGAGCTAAACAGGCTCTGAGAGGGGGGAAATAAAAACAACACCGTCAGGCTATTTTTCTGCTCAAATTATGCAACCGTCCTCTTCAAAGAGTACAGTGAGCTTCAAAGAGAGCGCTGGTGCTTCTCTCCCTACAACCCTCTCTTCTCTCACCCTCCTCCTCTTCCTGTCACCCCCTTTCCCCTTTCCTCTCCTCATTCTAGCCAAGATCCAACCACCCCTCTACTTATGTCTCCACCTTTCCACTCATCTCCACAATGAGTCCTTCCTTCCAACCCTGGTGCAATCTGGTGTGATGTGGCTTTTACACCACCAGGTGGAAGAGCAGCTTTTAGTCAACATTCTTTCTCTCCTGTCCGCTGAAGTCACTGCAAGGAAGGCCATTCTATGCAAATGTAAGAGGAAGCCGAGTCTCAGAGGAGAAAACATGCAAAACCTTCCTCTTTGTGCCAGCTGTGGAAACACTGAGTCTGGGTGCTGAGTCAAATAATAGCCAATTGTCTTGGTTGCGTCCAAATGTGCCATGTGCCCAAAAAGAAACCATTATTCCATTTGCATTATTAACAGGAAGCCACTGGAAGGGGCAGTGATTTTTCAAGTGTTTCCCTTCTGCTCAATTTGTGGACTTCATTCTGAAATTGAAAAACAGAACAGTCATAAAGAAGCAAATAGAGCAAACCATTAAACAACATAAACGGATGGTCAGTGGTCAGACAGATGTCCATCATCCTGACCGTCTGGCTGGAGCATTAGCTGTCATGCCGGCTAATAATAGTAGAATTACTCCTGCAAAGCCTGCTGAGCTGCTGTAAACATGGGCACTGTCACAGGGAAAGCATAGATTGTCAATTGTGTTGAACTCCCCAAATGCAGGATTAGTTTGTCCTCCTCATCTTTGTTCCAATGCTCCCGCTGTGTCCTGGCCGCCATTTCTAATCTCTCTCATTCACCAACCCTGCCTCCCTACTCCTCTCCCTTGTCCAACCATATCTCTCTCTCGCAGCTCTAATTCTCTTATTTCTGTACATTCTCTACCCTTCACCCTGGTTTTCCCCGATTGGTTGTACATATTTTACAAAATGACATCTCTATTCTGCCATACTGTGCGTCTCCTGAGAGGTCAGTGTTGGTCCGCTGGCCCATTGTCTGGTTTGTTGGATAAGTGAAAAGTCTGAACTTTCACTTATCCAGTGAAATGTATTTGATTGGCTGTATTGCAGTTTTTCATGGTGACCCAGAGGATGAATTCTAGTCAGTGCAGTGATCCCTTGACTTCTCATCTGACTGAAACACTTCCAACATCTGCTTGGCGTAACATTTAGTTCACAAAGTCATGTGCCTTGTACAGGATTGGCTGATCACAGCTATTTTCAATCAAAGGTATTACCTGCTACTTTTAGTTTTATGACCAAATACATGTAGATCAATGGGCTTTCCATCAGCCTGAGTGTGCTTTGAGTTTAGCTAGGAGCCATTCTTTGTATCATTTTGTTCTAATTATACATTAATGATTTAGTCACTTTACACTTTTGTTCATATAAAAAATTATACCGATTCCTGAGGAAAATTCAGAATTAGATAGAATTTATTAAATGTTAAAACTAAAATTACTTAAAATTGAAAACAAATGATTAAGCCTTTCAAGTCTCATCAGGAAAAGTTCTTCTTCCTTTATGTGATTAAGGAAAAAGCAGAATTCATCTGGATTGTAGTAGATTAACAAAATAATTTCATACTGTAGTTTGGTTATTTGCAAACTGCTAACTCACACATTGCACGTATTGTTTATTATCAGCAGTTGTCAACCTACATATTCAAGGACGGACAGACCTGAGGATGAAACATTAAAAGTGAATAACACCAGCTCACTGCATAGTAGCTTCCTTGGTTCCAATTAATGCAGAGACAGGACCAATGTGCAGTGTATCTAACCAGCAACAGTGCACGTCACCAGGTACTTCGAACGGATTTAGTAGGAGGAGAGTAGGAGGAAGAGACTGCTAAAATAAGGAAACAAACAGGGTCTGCATTGCACATTTCTCCACTGCTGAGTTCCCCTTTTCTTTATTTTTCTCTTTCATCACAGACTAACTGGCAGCTATAATTAAATACACAAAGTTTGACTAATAAATCGGTCCTCAGGTTTTATATAAGGTTTGCATATGGGAGTGATGAATCACCCTGCCAAAAAAGAAAAACGACTGTAGTTGTCAAACATGCAGCTTGAGGCACATCAGGAGAGAAAAAAGAGCGGAAAATGGAGACAAACAAAAGTGGATTTTTATAGTCATCAAATAGTGGACTTCAGCTGTTTGATGACCTGCTGGGGGGAGCAGGGGGTATGACGAGGAAGAGGCACAAACAGAGCTCTATAATGAGCTTCTCTGTCAATCACCCACACACACATCTATTTACGACACTTTAGAGGACCTTCACTTACATGTATTCTTTTTCCCTTTACCAGAAAACTAAATATTCATTTAGACTTATATTTTAATCTTAAGTTTATTAAGTTTTTATAATCATGCTGACCATATCTGAACACATGTTGTTTTGGATTTTGTATGTATTTACCTATATTGCACTACATCATGGTTTAATGTAATAATATATAAGCAGAATATTGGGAATGGTTTAGCTGTTGAACCCTAAGGTTCTAAGACTAATTTGTGATTTAGGGCTAAATAAATGAATAATTGTAAATAAACATATATCAATTTGATATTTTTTACTGATACTCTATCAGTAGTTTATGTGCAAATTATTTAAAAATCTTTACCAAACCCTTTGGTCGGGACATTTGTTATGACATCAATGTGGGTGAAGAGAGCTTAGCATCGAAAATATCCAGGGAACATTAACAACAGATCTTGGTTCTTGGCTCATTCACAGCTAATTCATTTAATAAAGGAAGTCAAAGACTGTTTCCCAGTTCTCCTGCTTTGAGTTGCATTGACTGTGCTCTGTTTGTGGTTTGAAGGTCTGTGACACAAGTTTTTCCAGCACCTCTAATAGCTCATTCTCTGTGTGGTGCCTTATGTTCGTAACAGAAGTCCTGAGTATTTCAAAGACCACCTTTCAACTGGTGCCCAGCAGACAGCACTTACAGGTGCACTTACAAGTGTTTGACTTTTAGTAATGATATTGATAAATATAGTGAATCATATTTTCACAACTCTTCCTGATATGCACAAATGAAGACACACACAAATCCACCACGTCATTCAAACAGATTTGATCATGTACACAAACAAGCAGGTGCATACGGCTCATTAGCCCACATCCCACAAGGATGAAAGGTGCTCTCTGCAGGCACCCGGCTGATCCCACAGAGCCTCAGTCATCAGTGGATTCCTCGCCCTCCTACATCACCACACAAACACTTGTGCATAGAGTTGTCCTATTCTCAAGCTCAAGCTCAGAAAGTGCACCAATCCAGAAACCCTGAGGCCACCCGGTGACCCAGTCACAGTCTGTGCTAAACAGATGGACCCCTATTGATAATTTACTAATACGCACCCACCATCTGTGTCACAATGTGAGTGTCACGACTGTGATGCTGCAGGGGAGTCACTGAGGTTGAATGGATCATACATCGGAACATGAGTAAGACTCTCCATCCCTCTCATCACTTTTATCCTGCTGCTTACACACTGTTGTTTGCACTCTCTGTGGGTAATATGGTTATTATCTCTATAGTCTTAGACTGTGCTCTTCTATTTATTAATTTGTGTATTTAGATGGATGGATAAATAGATTCTATAGAATCTTGATTCCAAACTGTTCTTTTGATATTCTTTGCAGGATAATGTCCTTTCATATACACACGTACAGCCCAAGGCTTATATGATTCCCTTTGCACTTTTACTAGCCCTGGGTTACATGGCTGTTGAAACATTTTAGTCCTGTGTTCAAGAAATTTTGAGGGCATTATCCAGCATCCCAGTGCTAACCCTGCTCTGGAGGCTAATATAGGCTAAAGTTGGGGTTAGTCCACTTTGGACATGTGCGAGGATTGTGCCAGTGTGAAACCTGCTTTACCCTGGGGCTTATAGCTCCCTCCGACACAGGCTCAACGTAGTGTGAAAAACCAATGTCATTCACTGTAATCCAACAACATGATGAGAGATGAAGCTACAGCATCCCATGAGATATCTGCTACCTTTGTGAATATGCTGTCAGCTGCATTGTTTGTAGATCAGGTGTTATCACCTTCTATTCTATAAGGTGCTCCTGGTGTTCTGTCCATCTCCTGCTATGATCAGGTTCCAGGTAAACTAGCTACAGCCAGTTGATGTTTGACATGATCTCACTGCACCTGATGCACCTCAAATGACATGTTAAGAACCTCAAGAACGTTATTACCTCATCTTGGGACCAAACCTCAAATAAATCTAGTTTAAACTTCTAGTTGAAATTCTTCAGTATTTCAGTTGATGCTTTATTATGTGTTGTATAACTGGGGCCATGCAATATTCCAGGAATAATGTACAAAGGACCTGTGGGGTTCAAAGGGGACCCAGTGGGTTAATTTGCTCAGGTGCCTGCAGCCATGCCAGTGTATTGAAGTGTGCACAGTGATGTGCACTCTGTCACTGCGGCATCCAATCCATGGGTACATGTGTGACTTAAAACTCTCTGCCCATGTGTGGAGGGGACACAAACAGCCAATCATCTCCTTGTTTCAAAGGAAATCCCTGCTGGCCTCTGATTGGATGAGATTAAGGGGTGGGGGGGGAGGGGTGGCGGGTGGTGGCGGTGGAGGGATAAGGCATGACATCGCCAGGTGATGTCTCCACAGCAACCAAGGCCCGGTATGTACGTAAACACAAGTACAATAGAGACAATAAAGGAGGCAGGCCTCTATTCTAGCACAACACACACACGCACGCACACACACACACACACAAAGCCCCTTGAGACTGAAGCCAGAGGGCAGAGTGTTGACTACATTATGCACCTGCCTCAACCTCTCGACCCGATCTCATTATTATTTCCTGCTCATCTTGAGAATTTACAGTAAAAGTGTTTCCTTGTGAGGAAATGAGAAAGCCATGCGGTACAGAGGGAAAGAGAGAAGGCTGATATACTGCAGCTACATTGCTGTGATATTAGTTCAGTGAGAAAAAGCATGGTAGTGATGTTACTGTGTTTTTGTGTGTTTGTTTCACAGGCTGGTGTAAACACACACTTTGCTCCATACATCTCACCGCGTCCTCTTCAGTCACCCAGGGGGAGGGAGGTGATAAACGCAAGGTAATCTGCGCCAGAGCAAACAAGATTAGACCAAACCTCATCACGGGCCATATGGCTAGAAGCCTGACTAGAGATGAGGAAGGAGAGGGGACGAATGAGTTGAAGGTGTGCACACGCACGTGCAGGAGTGTGCAACCGCAGAAGAGTAACACTTGTGAGGAAATGTGCTAAACAGGAAGGGGGGGGGGGGGGGGGGGGGGGTATCTCTGTTCATGCATCAACTTTAACAACACAGTGTCGGCACAGTACAGTTACACATTCACAAGGTCACCATTGCCTTGACCTTTGACGTTGGTCCACAAAAGTCTGATCATTTCATTCTTGATTCAAACTGAATATTTGATCCAAATTTACAGAGTCCCCCTCGAGGCGTTCTTGACATATTGTGTTCACAAGAACAGGACGGAGGCACGACCCGAAAAACAAAATGCCTCCGAGTCACTGGCTGTCGTGGGTGTGGAGACATAATCAAAGATGATTTAAGAGAGAGATGGGACGGGTATCAAATTAAAACAGGGTTCTTTCTTCAAGGCAATCAAACTTGTGTCTTTTCACATATTAACAGCAACACAAATGCAAAACAGAGACTGGGCTGTTTATCTCCTGTGCTTTTGTTGAGTGTAGTCTAGACAACAGTCACTTCTCTAGGCTGCAAGAGCCTGATCACACTGCGCTTTTAGAAACGGTCACAAGTGTGTTTGCCTGAAGTCAAACAATCTACTGGTTCTATTTATATTTCATTAAAAGACTATGCAAAGGACACATGCACGTGTTCACAGTGTGTGCTTCACAAACCATGTCATTGTACAAATACCGTGTGAATAAGAGGTTTGATAAAACTTTGTTTCTTCTATTGAGGACATTGAGTTTTTTTGTATTTAAAAAGGAGAATTAAGCGAGAAAACAGGAAAAACACAGTCTTTAGAGCAGAACTGCTAAAAATACTGGGTCAGAAATCTGTGAGTACAAAAATACCAATCTGATACCGCGTAGTTTCACCAAGATAATACTGCAATTTTCTTTTCCTGATAACACGCTCTTCTCGCAAGTACTGTTTTTTAGAACGGCAAGAAGATTTCTGCTTGTGTTGCCCCATTTATATCTGAAATGGCAGCAATTTCTCATATTTCACACTTGAAGGTTCCACAAGTAAAATAGTAACACGTACAAGTGCTCGGTTACTAGCTTTTTTACTTATGACTGTCAAACTGTAAAATGAAAGAAGTTCTGTGGGATTAAATCTGTTTGCGTTTTTCAAAGGGTTCAACCTGAGCAAGACAACAATGATCAATTCATTCATTCAGGGTTAAAATACATTATATCAGTAGTTATTTTTTGAATGCAGTGGTATTCAGTCGGTATCGGACGATGAGCAAACTCAAAATATTGGAATCAGTATCGCGAAGGGAACAGTTGTATCGGAACATCCACCCGACGAGTAAATGAAGAATATTTAACAAAATAACAACCAAGGTGTTGGATTCGTTTTTCCAGCTGTAACTAATGTTCCTATGTCGACTTCCTCCCGTTACCAACAGGGCTTGAAAAGTTCCTCACTTTGAATTTGAATCAGCACAGAAAAATAATTGCATCCATATTTTTCTTTTCTCAACAGCCACTTGACCGGTTCACTGTGGAAATGAAATACTCGGCAATGCTTCATCAGTGCGGCCGACTGTTTCGCAGGGAAAGAAGCTGAAAGAGATACAGAAACACAAAGACAGAGGCACACACACACACACACACAGAAAGGACACCTGAACAGTGACATTCAAATAAATGAACACAAAGCCCTGAGACTAACGTTAACTCATTTTCCAGAGGTCAAAAGACTGTCTGTCTATCTGTCTGTCTATCTGTCTGTCTGTGTGTCTGTCTGTCTGTCTGTCTGTCTACACATGTCTGCAGCAAACATCACAAACGCCCCCCCCCCCCCCCCCCCCCCCCCCATCCTGACACATGAACTCAAAGAGGAAGTACCACAACTTATTGATTTCACATGTTCCCTCCGCTGAGTCACGAATCAGAAGGCAGACACACTGTGGAGATAACAGAGAGGATTTAAAGCTGTGACACAAGTTATGAGTGTGCACTTAAAGCCCCCCCCCCCCGATGCTGTCCGTCCTCTTCTCTGCATCGTCCAGAGAAGACGAACACGGAACTGAACACGTCTCACTTCCTGTTGAAGACAGCGAAGCTGCTCGGTGCTATCAGTCATAAAGTTTTCATGAGGAATCACCGAGGCCTGCTCCCTGCATGACCGCGTGCTGTGATTTACGCACATTCACAGGCCTTCCACTTGAGAATTAACGACTGAGCTCGGAGCAGTGCCAGTGACGTGCAAGTGTACAGCGAGTGACGCGTTGAGTCATTGTCCGCACCTGGTGTGGCGTCACAAGGTCGATCTCATCGGCCTCAACAACACTAATATTGCAAGATCCACGTTGAGGGGAAATGATCAGTTTAAGAGACAGATATTTATGAGTGTGAGTCATTTGGTGCTGATCTAAATAAAAATCTGGTGAATTTAAATTAAATTGTTTTTTGTTTTACCTTCATTAACTTTCACACAGAATGCCAGAGAACCAGTTTGTGGATTCAGTCCCCACCTCTGTGTATCTGTGAAACAGCAATGTTTATCCCACCACCAGTGCAGCAGAACAGGCTCAGCAAGCAGCTGATGACACAGTCCAAGACCTTCACTGACCGAGGCTACAAACAGAGCAGGCTCAGGGGGAAAACGGACACAGTGGCTCTGCTGATTCCACGCCTGCAAAAATAATCCTACAATATATTTCAGAACTAATTCAGAGGTTTATGTTGATCTAAGTCAAGAGAAATGAAACACAAACATAGAGCTGCATTGTATTTCACCATAAGAACATTAAAGTGTGCAGAGCTGTTTTGGTTAAGTTGTGTTTCTATGTGTCTGCTCTCAACCAGCAGAAATGTAAGGAGGCCCTGAAGTGCTTCAACAGCTCGGCGCTGATTGGACTGAAGCACTGTCTGATTTTAATTCACCATTGTGTTTTAGTGATTTGATGTGTTTTCATTTGCCATTCTGTTTTCTCAATTGTACTTATGTAGTATTTTCTGATTAGCTTTCTCCTTTTTTGTTGTCTTTTCTCATTGGCTGTTGGGTTTTGTCACTTGCAGTGTTGAAACAGTAATTTTCCCTGATCTCCAATTCTCATCATTAAGGAAATCCTAATTGATGGCTTGGGGGGGGGGGGGGCATGGCACCATGGAGCTGCCTTGTGAGGATGTGGCCCCCTGCCTTGCACCATAGTACAATTTACAAGAGGGCTGATGAATGCAACACCGCATTTCTGCAGTGTAGTAAATGTACACACACACACACGCGCAATGATCATCCAGCACACAATAGAAATCAAACCCACAAACCTTTGGAGTCGCAGTCGGCGCAGAATTTATTCTCCTCCCGCGCCAGCAGCGAGGTGAGGACAGTCTGGTATCTGTCAACGTCTTTCACTGATTTCCCCGTCATCATCGCACCGGTCCGACCTCCTCCACAGCCCCTGCGCCGGTCTGTCTGAAATCAGCCTCCTGTATATATATATATATATATATATATATATATATTTAATAAATGGCCAGATGTAGAAGTGTGTGTGCAGAGGATGATGCACTCCGTCGCTTCTTCCTCCTCGATGTGGAGATCGGATGGGATGACCGACTCTCAGCCAACCAGCATGCGGGTTACAGGAGGCGCAAATAACCCTGATGGAGACGTGAGGTGGAGGAACAGACCATGTGACTGAGCTGAGAGTCAAGATGGGATGTTAACTTTGAACATCTCATCTCTCTCTCTCTCTCTCTCTATCTCTCTCTCTCTCTCACACACACACACACACACACACACACACACAGACACAGACACACAAGCATAACAATGCAAACAATTGTTATAAATACAAAAGCTTCCAAAGTGTGAATTGTCCTTCAAGTTATAGAGAAAAATATTTTCAAGCTGCAATAAAGAAAATATCAGGTCGTTAGTTTTATTGTACTGTCAATATATGACCTGTACTGCCACCCTGTGGTCAACATGAGATGTTCAGGGCTGCTGTTCTTCTCCGGGACACTAGAGGGCGATGTGGAGCCTGTCAAGAGTAAAACAGCAGAAGAAAAGTTGACAGTTTAAATCAAGTTAGAGAAAGTTAGCTAAAGAATTACCGGAAATCAAATTACTTTACCTTCAAAATAAATTGAGAAACGTGTTTCATATGTTGAAAATTAACGCTGCTCGGAAGTATAAGATGTAACAGTAGCTCATTTATAACTACATGTATTTTATCCGTTGCCGTCCTGCTTTGAATTTCTTACTAATTGCCCTCGATGCTTATTTTAGCTGTGAGGTAACACCGGAAGTTCGAGCTGTCATCCTAGTTGTGCTTGACGTTGGCGGAAGTGAGCGTCTGCACCGTGCTCTGCGGAAACAAACAGTTCAGCCGGAATCAAATAAATAAAGGATTAATATCGAGTCGCCTCCTGTGTAATCCTGTAACCGTGTCCACAATGTCCCGGCAGTCCAACCGAACAACTGACAGCAAGAAGATGGTAGGACATCAACGTCAGATCCCAATCTAGCACGGCTAGCTAGTTAAATGCTAACCGCAGCTAAATAGCGTTAGCTCTCTGTCTCACCTTGTCCTCGTCAGACACAAATGTTTGTGTGACGCAGCTGGATTTGATCTGAGCAGCTTTAAAACAACACGAGACGTGTTCAGATTATTGTTGAACACAGCACGTGCAGCCGTGTGTCGCCCTCTCACTGCGTTCAATTCAAAATCAGAACTAAATGACTGAAACATATTTGTCGCTGAGCTAAACTTTATTTCCTCTGAAATACTTTTGACTTTTTCATCAAACAATCAAAAAGACAGACAGGAATCAGCGACTCTCCTGTGATCGATGTTTAGATGGAGTACAGTGTTTTATTTAGTGCTATAGAAGTAGTATTACAGCTGTATTTGGTCTGGAAATATTATCCATTATATTTATTGGTTATTAAATGTCAATCAAATGTGTTTATCAACAGTTCAAATCTTAATGTTATCGTTAGTATTAGATGTGATTTCAGCACCAGGAGCTGTCCATCGCTGACCTGTTTAACCCCCTGAGCAGGAAGTGGCCCAGTGATCGTTCATTTCTATTTAGTTCATTTCTATTTAGACTTTCTGTTTATTTATTTATTTCGATTAGTATTTTATTTTAAAGGCTCAGTGTGTAAGATTAAGGTGAAAGGGATTTTTGGCAGAAATTAAAATTAAAGTAATCCTAGTTTTCACTGGTGTGTTTCATCTGAATTGTATGAATTGTTGTTTTCTTCATCATAGAATGGGCTCTTTATATTTACATGGAGGGGGGGGGGTCCTTTTATGATAACTCAAGTTCACCACAGGTTGTCTGTCATGTAGGGAAGGGGAGGATGAAATGATGAGTATTCAACTGCAATATGCAACTTCACCTCTAGATGTCACTAAATTCTACACACTGAAGACATTGCACTTTAAGCTGAACACAACCAAACTGAAGCTCTATTTTGTGTTGTCTTTGTGAATGAACAAATTGCCTATGTGATCAATTGAAGTGTTGTATCAATTTATGTGTTTTACAAACTTAAAGCAGATAATGTAAGTAGTAACACTGTATTAAAAAAGACCCTTATCACCAGGGGCTAATGGTTATGACTGTGTATGTAAGTTTTACTGGACACTCTCTGATGTGTTTATCATATCCTTGAGGTTAGCTTTGTGCTGTGCCATGACACAATAAACCTAATGTATCTGTGTTCTTGGCTTTTTCCAGAGCCTTCCATTGATTTTTTTGGTAGCCTTAATAACATGACATTTTTTGTTGTTTATATTTTTAGAACTCTGAGCTGTTCACACTGACTTACGGGGCCCTGGTCACTCAGCTTTGTAAAGACTACGAGAATGACGAGGAAGTCAATAAACAACTGGACAAGATGTAAGTATGCACTTCTATTGTGTTTTTGTCAAGGTGGGGCGTAGGAGTGCAGCATAAAAGTAGGAAAGATGCTCCCACCCTGGTTCCAAACCAAAGTTAGAAAAAGCTGACTCACAGATAACATTATATAATTCATGACCATCACAGGAGAAAAAAGGGATGATGATCAGCAGCAAAAATACAGTAACTAACCCTGGTTCTGTAAAATAACAGTTGAAAATAAAATGGTAGTTCAGTCCTACAGGTTCAGTGATTTATAAAACTAAGTGGGTAAATCTACAAAAGAGGTGAGAAAAATGACAAAATAGATGTGGAGGCCGAGGACAGACCCGAGATGCTGCTGTCAGGTATCTGTCATCGTAGTACAGGAAGAGCCAGCTATTTTTTACCTTGCAGGATGTTGCAGAGAACCCAAACAGCAGCAGACATTTCTCAGGCCTCCCAGCCAGGAGGAGACCAAAAGGTGGAATGCTCAAAGCTCCTCACAGGAACAGACACACATTCTCACACAAAAATATCCTTACACACAGACACAGGTCAATAATAATTACAACAATTAATAATGAAATAATTGGCTTTCTGAGTTTGGAATAGTGCTACATGAACAATACATTATTTTAGATAGTCTTTTACATTGATTAATGATCATATATAATTTCAATTGGTTTATTATGACATGAACCCTTTATTGGTAACATATATGTTTTCATTTAGGCTAACTATCAAACAAAAAAATCATATATCATAGTATAAATATATGTATCGCTAAGTTCATATTGAGAATGTAAATCACGGTGCCTTCTCCAACATGTTGCTTGTTTAACTTAGGGAGGAGAGGGGGATTTTGATTTGTGTGTCTCCGTTTGGCTCCCAGCTTCCCACCACTCTGACACATTCTACTGTTCTCTGCTCATAATGTACTTTGGCACAAAGTTTACCAGAGGGATGACATAATGAGGTTTTATTTCTCACACTTACGTGTCAGAAGTTCCTCAGGAATCCTGTCATTTCTCAGCGCTTTGAGGTGAACACTGATATGTGTTTTTAAGAGAGAAAAAAAGCTCAGGAATGTCTTACTACACACTCATAAGATTTAGTTAAAATAATTGGTTGATAACTCAAAACTTCAAAATGATGACAGTACTTTGGACTGAGTGTACTTTGCTTTTCTGCTTGTGTAGTAAGCTTAATCTCTGAGATGAGGTCTCACTTATCTGGCCTTAGAAGGCAGCAAGTCTGCACTGCCCTCTCTGCCAACTGGTCACAGACAGACCATGTTAGGAACAGGACGCATCAGTTGGCTTCAGACTTCCAATCATAATTGTCATAATTTTCCAAGTGTATGACCCAAAAATTGCTTGGGACATTAGTAACTGTCTTTTAGCTCTTAACGGTCGACCCGAGCTGTCACCCGTGATTAAACGCACATGCTACTTACACAGTCATTCCCATCTAATGGGTTGTGGCCTCCTCATCCTCCAGTTTGTGGTGGTTGGTTGTGTTCTTTTAAAAGTCTGTGAATTGTTGCAGCACAAAGCCGCTGAGAACACATTCACCACTGTCTCATTTTGTCTTTACAACAATAAAATAAATCCTTGTGGCGGACTAGACTTCATATAAGATGATTTAGATGTTTCTTAGATTCTGCAATCATTTAGTTTCTGATTTCTCTTGAAAATGTAGGCTAATTTATGCTGCCTTTACGTACAAAAAGAGATCTGTCTTTCTTAAACTGTCACTGCCCGTATACTTCCATGTGTCTTTTTTCTTGGCATGGTAGAGGGCGACACAGTCGAGAGTTTCTGACAATAAACATGGTGAAGGTGGAGGAGGTTGTGATAATGTACCTCTTAGAAAAAGAGGTGTAAACAGGCGAGTCAACATCATATGTTAACCTGTGGTGTCATTCCTTGAAAGCCACAAAATTTGCATTGTTGTTCTCTTCTGTGTCTTATTTTCATCTCGCTTGAACTAGATGCTACACTGCCCCCACATGATTTCCAGTGGTACTGCTGTTTAGTCTGTATCTGCATAAATGAGCCTTTACCCGACCTTTTGAATGTCTATGCTTCAGCCTATTAGGACTAAGAAGAGGCCAAATAACCTCATCTCTCCTTCTCTTGCTTCTCTCTCTGTCCTTCCCTCTTCCATAGGGGCTATAACATCGGAGTGCGTCTCATTGAGGACTTCCTGGCACGCTCCAGCATCGGCAGGTGTCAGGATTTCCGAGAAACGGCAGATGTCATTGCGAAGGTAATTGCGAAGGTTCCAGGCCAATCAGAGCGTGACCGTGGATCTCTACCAAGATTAAAGGGAGGGGGGAGAAGGAGCATGAGGGAGGACAGGAAGGACAAATTAGAGAGAGGGAACTTGATGAAACACCCTAAAAGTGACCAGAGAAGGAAGAGAAGGATGACGGGAGGAGGAGGAGGAGGGGGAAAAAGTGATGATTGTGGCCAAACAGATGACAAAGCTCCTAGAAAGTGTTACTCTGCATTTTCCTAAATTTGAGGCCAAGATCACATTCCTCTTTGCTTTGTGCGATAGTTACCTTGATACTCAGAAGGTGAGGATTCTCTTACGTGTGGAATGAAATGTCATCCCAGAGAAAGGTGCTGTGTATTCAGAGATACTGTTTCTCAACTACAACTGCAGCAGTCTCTCTCTCCTCTCTGTATTTTTTTCGGTGGAGAGGCAGAGGGACGCAGGGAGACAGTGAACATTGTGTGTTCAGCGCTCCAGCTGTTTTCAAGGTGTTGCTGCAGCTCGCTCGGGGAGTCATACCACAGATGTAACTCTACGCGAGCTCAGGGAGCTGGCTCACGGTCATGAAGTGAAGGGTGATGTCTGTAAACGGAGGAGCACTATGGGACAGCGGTTTGGAAGGCACAGTGACAGCTTTGCCTCAGGATATCACATGACCTGTTGCCAAAATCACCTCAGTCATTCTTCAGTTTAATATACACGGACGAGGCCTGTTATTTGATTAAAAACAGATTTTCATGAATTATTTCATTATTTTTATAATTTCAGTGATTTTTGTTTTTTTTAAAGATAATTGTGTTGATTTAAGGCAGGAATACTGGACGTGCAACTGTTTTACATTAACAAATAAAAAATCTTCCTACTGCCGCTCCATAATGTAATTGATCGGACGGGCAGAACTGGCACTTTGCTAGCTTCATCGAATTTTGATTTATATGGGCCAGTTTGTCGTCCGTCCTGCAGAAGAACAGGAGCAACAGACAACGGTTACCAGAAAGCAGGTGTGTACAGGTAACACTGTCAGTATTCCACTATATTGAACACATGGTGTCCTGCAGCTGCTTCACTTGATGATGACTTTTACTGTGAAGAAACTGAAAATCAGTGAAGGTGGTTATTCTTTCAGTCAGACTGGTTTGGCAATGATCTGCAGGCTCAGTTTATGTCAAGAGAAATTCCCATAATAGCAAAACCTTAGTGGACAAGACAGATCAGAGCATTGGACCTTGGTATTCTGTAATAATAATACTTTAGTTCGTTTTAGCATCTGTCTGGATAAAGTAATATAACAGAAAAAATGTGTCATTATCTTTGGCTTTGCAGCTTGTTTCTTTTCGTAGCTGTCCGAATCTAAAATCTTAAGATGTATTTTTCTTATCTTCAGGGGATGTGGCACGAACTAATTCACAATGAGACATTACTTTTCAAGTGAGTAATCCTGCTGTGACTTACGTTCATCAACTCCTCACCCTGTTGTGCTTTCTTTCATTAGGTTGCATTTAAGATGTACCTGGGAACCACCCCCAGTGTGACCAACTGGAGCCCGGCAGGAGATGAATTCTCCCTCATCTTAGAGAACAACCCATTGGTCGACTTTGTGGAGCTGCCGGACAACCACAACACGCTGGTCTACTCCAACCTGCTGTGTGGGGTCCTCAGAGGAGCACTGGAGATGGTAAGGCCAACACTTTTACGTCAATATGTAACAGAGTCTGAATCCTTTACAAAATAATACACATTTATTTCATAGAGGAGAAAAAAAGAGTTAAACACTGTCACAGCTACTAATAATTAATAAAACTAACTAAGAATGCAATATGAGTTCTTCTTTGGGTCGTGCCACACACGTCCACATAATTTTATTAAAAAATAAACAGACCCTCTTTGGTGGAGTTAATAAGACAACACAACAGAAACCAATGAGGATAAAAGTCTCTACTGCGCAAGTGTGTGTGTGTGTGTGTTAGTGTTTTTGTGCATGACATCATAACTGATCATGAATCGTGTTTTAGGTCCAGATGGCGGTGGACGTGAGGTTTGTCCAGGACACTCTGAGAGGGGACAACGTTACAGAAATCCGCATGAAGTTCATCAAGAGGATTGAAGAAAATCTCCCAGCGGGAGATGAGTAATGGAACTGAAGGAGAAGTTATCCAGGCAACAGCCTTCACTTACAGACTCAAGGGATGAATTAACCAAACTCAAAGCATCTCAATAGGACGTTTCCCTGCAATTTTGAATATTACATTAGAGTTGAATGACTTCGTATAAACACCACAGCCTGGATCATTCACATTAAAAGTTTGAAAGGAACAATGACTTGTGTTATAAAATTGAGTTATAACTTCTGGCATCTTTGTCCTCCGGTGTTTTTTCTTCTATCAGTGTTAGGAGAAGAAAGGAGACAATTTAGATTCATCCCAGACAAATGAAAAACTGTACACTATGTAAACACAACATCATAACACAACTCTGCTACCTTGATTATTTTATGGGTGACAAAAAAATGTATTGAGTGACCTGTGGTTCCATCTGGCAGTGTAAAGACATGAAAAACACTTTGGACTATTAATTTGTCACCATCCCACATGGAAAGTCACTTTTTCTTCATTTATAATTTCATTTTATTTCCTTTTTCCTAAAAAGAATGATGTGTCTTCTGTGACCATGTTTATTTTTTTCCAGTGCAAGGCTGGAAAGTCCTACATTGTAATGTTATCATGTTTTCGTCTTGTTTTGCTTTTTTTTCTTATTAAGATCACATTCTATATTGCTGCCAATTGTCTGGCATGATAATTTATGTAGATTAATTATGTCAAATAAATGCAACATATTTGATTTGATAGTTTTATCTCATGTTGAGATGAGTGAGGCTTAATAAAGAGCCTGTTGTGCGACCTGGAAGTTATAACAACACACACACACACACACACACACACACACACACACACACACACACACATACATACATAGTGTGTCCTCTGTACCACCTTGCCAGTTCTGCTTCAGGGTGCTGTGAGAGTTTTATCCCTTTGGAGTACTGCAGCCACTCTGCAAAGGCAAACAATAACAGACCTAATGTCTCTGTTGTGTTTGTTCAGGGTACATGGGAATATTCTTTGTGTGTGTGTGTGTGCGTGCGCAGAAAAGTAAAGGCTGCTTAAGTCAGAGTCACCAGTGCTTGGTTCTGGTTGTCACACCTGTGAATGTCTTTACGTCACCCAGAAGTAAAGAACACAACTTCTCATTTAGGTTCCAGTGCACACCTCGTCAATAACGTAAAACACAGACGACCATTCACACACACACACACACACACACACACACACAATTCATCCCTGCTGCTGCTTTAGAAGCAAAAATCTGTTCTGGATATACAGGAACCATGTTTTTTGTCTTTTACCGTGTAACAGAACAATAACATTTGTACCAAACTCTTGAGTCTGTTTAAAGCACTTAGAGGATGAGATTGTCAGATAGGGATTTCCTGTTGGGAAAATCTGTCAGCTATTTGCTTCTGGAAACCCTCAGTCTCTTAACATCCTATTTTATAGTTGCTATTGCATGAAACACATATCTGCTTTTACAGTTTTAGTATCATGGCATATTCTCCCATCAGCCACCAGAGGCTGCTGTGTGCTTTATGTTCCTTCGCTGTTGGCTTTATTGTACCAGAGTATGAGGCTTAAGTTATGTACATTGAGCTTTTTTTGGCCAAAGATGGATATTGTGGGGGTTAATGCATTCCTTTATTTGTGGGAGTAGAGTCATAGCTGCCAGAAAACATAAATAAAAGGTTTATTTTCAGATTATAAATTAGAAAGGAAGGAGCAGTTGATTCACAGTGGTTGGGCAGAGTGGCCAATGCCAATTTGTGGACATGGGCTCAAGATTAGACAAATGATGACAACATGCAGTCTTTGTACTTTGTAATCCTGAGGAAGATGTAATAGGATGGGATTACTTAGTGTCATTTACTGCCTTAAGCTTTTGCCTACGCCTGTTTGAGGGTATGTGCTCATTTAAAAGGTTTAAAAGTGGAAGCACTGCGAGAGCTGTGGGTAAGCAATAAGCCCAGGAAGCCATTAGGCGATCTCTCAATACATTACATGCACATATCTACGCACCCTGTAGGCCCGAGATGTGGATGTTGGATGGGACGCAGGGTCTAGTTTTCGAGCAGAAGCTCAATGTAAATGACTTGGCAGGGGGGAGTGAATGGACAGCTGGGTTTGTGTATTTGTGAAAACCTTTATCACTTTGCCATATGTTCACAAAAATTTAACCTGACAGACGCACACGGGGGCATGTGCAAATACTGTGCAAGGAAGCCAAAGTGAGGATGAAATTTATTACCACCCGTGTGCTCAAAAATAGGTGTTAATACACACTTGAAGGACCTTGTTTAAACACACAAATACGCCGTTTTTCTGTTTCCTAGCCCTTAAAGTTCCACCTCTATGTCTAGTGAGAGTTTTGTGTTGATTGTTTCCACAGTTTTATCCATTAAACAAGAAAGTATTGAGACTCCAAACTAACTTAACGCTCCGTTATGACTTCACTCCTCATAACGTGTGCATCTGTGATTCCTATTCCCTTTGCAAGACTGCAGATGTTGTCACAGAATGAAAAAACAAGGAGGCAAAAAAGCGAGTTGTTGCTGAGGCACTTAAGACTCTCCCTGAGCCACGAGGAATTGCTTTGAAGATGCTATTTTTATCTATTGTTTTTTCCCCCTCTCCTGTCTCTCCTCCATAGTTTTTTATTTAACCCCACATGTGCATAGGCAGTTTGGGTGATGAGTATTTTCCATCACTCATATCTCATACCAGTGGCGGATCTAGGATTTAACTGAATCAGAGGCCATAATGGGCACACAATTTGCACAGGGGGGACATTTTTATATCAACATTCACACAATTCTTGATTCTGTAAAGTGCAAATTAAAGTCATTCCTTGTTTACTGTTGACTTTGTAGCTTTGAGTCACACATCATTGAATACATTTTGAAAAATGTTCCTAACACTGTACACCTTGTGTTCTTAAATATTTTTAAGTAATTATTTTCTATTGTAGTATTGACTACTGACAGGACTGCGGCACCCCTGGCCCCACCTGATCCATCCCTGTCTCATCCCCAGTATGTTCAGTGTCTCCCATTGGCAAACACGCTGCTTCAATTTCATATTTCATTCTATGTTATTATTAAGATTATTTATTGCAGCTGGCTTTATATTTTAGAAAACTTTATTAAGACAGAGCTGGAAAACAAGTAGCAACTGTTACAGGCCTGAGACAACGCACGCCGATCTGCTTTAAGCTAGCTAAATGTTACCATGTGGCCTTTATGGGAAACAAATGGGGAAAGGCACGCTGTGACAGTAAAGCCCAAGCACACAGCCTGGTATTGACGTGCGCTTATTGAATACCGCATCCCTTTCCTCCACCTCCACTTCATTCAATTCCTCCAACTGTTTTCTTAGTTTTCCCACTTTATTTTCTCTTTTTTCTTTGCTACACTCATCCCATCGGATTGCTGATCTCAGTCAAAAGAAAGGAATCGTGATAGTCAAACTTTTAGGGAACATCCTCTGATGGGAATTGTGTTGTCTCTCAGTTGGTGTAAGGGCTGACTAAAGATGCAGTCACCCAGGATTTGCAAAGGTTTCCGGAGTGCGTGTTTTGTGTCTGGTCAGTGGAAAGAGCGGAGATGACAGTAAGATGGACAGCACTCTGTAAGCAGAGAATGCAATGAGTCAGCAGTAAGTCAGTGTTCATGGTTTAAAAAAAAATCCAGACAGTCTGAATAATTTTCTCAGGCACTGTGGGAAGAGGTTTAATGAGCACGTTGCTGATGTGCACCTGAAAAATGCTCGCATGAACACCAGACGATAATTGATTGTCTCCACACTAAAACCCAGTGAAAGTGTGACTTTTGTGGTTCTTGCGGATGTTTCCCTGAGATTTATGTGAATAGACACCTCAGTAAATCGATGTGAATGTGTTTTTTCAAGGTAAGTATGAGTTGATGGGGTGTTCGGTCACAGCGTGTACCCGCTGAAATCTGCTCCGGCATCTGCAAGCCATTTGGAATATGAATCATCACCCACTTCCAGACAAACTGTTGAGCACTTCCTATAAATATAAGAACTCATGCTTTGCTCAGCCATTTAGCAAGGACCGGTGCATCCAATAGGAAATGAGGAGTTTGTAGGCCTCGTGAAGTTTTTGTTTGGGTCATCAGGAGTGTTGGCAGAAAGGGTGAGATGAGGAACAAAACTGATAAAGCACACCTCACCGAGCTTGAAAATAAAAGCACGGATCAGATCCAGCCAACTCGTACAATGAAATCCTGGATCACCAGAGTCACAAGGGATTGGCGTTAACAAAGAAAACATCTATTCAGCAGGAAGACATGTCAGGCTGAAATCGGTTCAAAGCTGGGTCTCTTTTCTGTATTAGCAGTGACCTGGCTGGTTCCAGGAGGGTTTCAGTCGGAGCCCAGGAGGACGCCGAGCCATTTAATGCCTTGTTTTGAGTTTTTCCTCTTTCCCTTTCTTCCAGGCTTTTTGGATGGGAGCTGCTAAGCTGCCTTCACTCTGCTTCCAATTTCCTCCTGCTCTTTCGTTCTTCCTCTTTTCTTCAGGATCTGATGAAGAGGAGTTTGTAGACGTTCCCGATGATACAGGTTTTACCCGTTCCAGATCCTCTTTATCTTTGTGCCTCATTTTCCCACAATACGCTCAACTTTTGTCTTGTTTTTCTCCCTCCTTTCCTTTTTTCTGACCCCGCAGCCGCACGAGTTTATGTAACAGCAGCAGAACTCTCCAGCTTGGAACGGCCTCTCTTGAAGATGGAGCGAGGAGAATGAGTGGGAGAGAACAAAAAAAAAGGTGTCATGTATAATTTTACACAGGCTCGCCCTGGGGGCAAACGGCACCTAACCTTAGACTTCATTATTCCTGGGCCTTTTCCTCCAAATGCACATATGTAAGAATATATTTATATCATTCTCTCAGGCAGTAACAAATATGTTAATTCCAATTGAAACGCAGGAATGTGAAAGTCCTGGTTTGCCCTGGACTAAAATCAAACCAGGCTTCCCTCCCAGAGCACAGGGCTGCCTAGAGGCTGCACACCAGCTGCACTGGACGGGATATCTCCGCTCAACACTGCCAAGCATGAACCGACCGTCTGTGTGTTTGTGTGTGTGTGTCACATTAAGCTCAAAATAAAAAACGCACCATACCCTGATTAGATAGAAGTACTTCTGATGATGCATGACTCCCAAACTGGCCATATATCTAACTTTTAAAGCACGAAATCTGAGATAATATCGCTGCATAAATCTAAACACCAGCTCTGAGGCTTTACGTCTTCAGCAAGTAATTTATTATCCTCCCACTGCAAGAAACCCTCACACAGGTCTGTGTGATTGTGAAGGGTCTGGATGTCGTATTAAGGAGGGTAGACATTTCAGGCCCGAGTTGGCTTTCCATTGAAAACACCTCAAGCTGTCACACTGTAAAATGAGACTGGAATCTGAAGATTGGACTGGGATTTATGGCAAATCCCCATCTTGAGAGATGCGTGATGGGGCAATTATTAGCTATATTTCCATCCAACTGCTGAATAAATTTATGTGCAATCCTCACATTAATGTATTATTAATATTACATTAATATGAATATAATACATTCATCAAGGCTAACACATACCTGCTACATGAGCTTTGGGGAGGACACTTATTTACCATGACATAACTAAACAGGTCCTCCCATTATCCTGAAATGAAAACATACCGGATACAAACTCTGCCATCTTGTGCTGATGACAAC